TGATCATTAGTCTTGAATGGGAGCGCTCCAACTGTAAACAGAAACCACACGTAAGAAACCAAACATTTAGAAGTTATGTATGTACCTTTATCATCAGTTGTATAGAAATATTCTTGACAATGAATCTTGATAATCCCGTGATGGGAAAGTTGCTTCCATTCTTCATTGGTTAGTGGAAATACTGTCTTCGCAATGCGAATGGATACAGCATACCGTATCCTAAGGCAGTTAGGCTCAATTCTAAACATTTGGAGGTTGAAACGATCAATATTCAAACATTTCGCTACCAAAGCCTCCAGATCAAGCAAATCGACAAATCTGATGCTATAATCCCAATGCTTATCAGTGATAATAAGTAGTTCAACCTTTTTGTCCGACTGACCCCCAGTGAAGACCTCGAATCTTCCTTCATGATATATACTAGTCTCACAGACACGTCGTCTAATGTAGTCATTGAACTCCGATTCATATGCTTTTAGCTTCTCCTGCAGTTCTTGTGAACCAGTACATAGCTCAGTAATTACTCGTTTCAGAATAGAAAACTGGAGAAATGATATAAGGCTCTTCTTCACCATTTCGAGAAAAACTCCACTAATGCTAGTTTCAGCTTCAAGTTCAACCAGAGGAGATTCCTTGGCAATGTGCCTCACGTGCTGAACATCCATGATACAGACCAACAGCTTCTTCACATCACAGTGTATCTCATGTAGGTGGCTTTCAGTTTGAGCCCTCAACAGTGCATACTGCTCTATCATACGGTTTGTATCAGCGTTAACCTTACGTTGTAAAATCCTCTTCTCCATTTCAGGCATAGAACTGATGCTTAATGCAGTTGGTTTATCTGTTGGCAAACAACATAACTGTAAAATTGCAAAATGTGCAGGAGAACCAGTCCATGAAACATTAAAAAAAGCCTCATCTACGAAGCACAGAAAGGCGGTGATATTATGCAGTAAGTGCAGTTCCGTGAAACTAGAAATGGACAGAAAATTTAGAGGCAAAAATCGATCTTGCAGCAGCTGTATTGTGCTCGGTTTATCAAGGACTGCTTATACCTCCAGGCCCACTAGGAGGAAAGAGCAAAAGTTGTATCTCCCTACTGATGCATGTACGTATGTATGTGCTTTGTGCAAGCTCACGTCTCATCAACGAGGTAGAAGGGCAAGGCAAAGCAAACAAATTAACCCAGGAACACACGACACTGCATTCTAGGCAAGCACTCTACCAACTGAGCTACCAGAGAAGCTCAGCTAGTTTGAATCACTAACACATTGCACAAACCTCAAACCACTGTCCTATGGTAGAGTATACTCTCACTTAGTATGTAGGAGCAGACGAAGTATCTAGGCAACGATTTAAATGCATCGAGTGTCAGTAATGAAAAATGGCGGACCTGCCCGTACTTAAAATATACTCTATTTCTCTATTAGGTGGTTTTAGAGAAAATGGCTTTCTTTACAGTTCATGCATGATACGCTTGTATTCTATTTTGCACGTCATAGTGCGAAATGCAAGAAGTGCGGACGCACCTTTTATATCAACTTACTGTAAGTCACAGACAGTGGCATGTCTGACGCGGTGGGAGCGACTGCAGTGGGTAAAGAAGAGGAAGAACCTGAAGAGCCTCCACTTTCCCTAGTTCTTGATGCACTAGCAGAATTCATTCCGTGTGTAGTTCTAGATACTACACCAGAGCTCTGCTTTCCTCTGGTGCTTTTGTGTTTGGTGCTATGCTGTGTTTTAGGCACAGAAGAGTGACCACCAGCAGCACCTATAAACATTATACATTAAACCATTGTTAATCACATAGAGTGGGTCAAGGATTTACCGGTAGATATTTCTTTAGATGGATATCCACTTGACTGGGGCTTAGCCGCAGCTGATATAAACTTCTGGGGGGCAGCCACCTTTCTTGAGTAATCATCTTTCTTTCTAAGAGAGCCAGAACTTGGTGCCCGTGACCTTGACTTCTGGACCACACTAGTGGAGGCAGGACTGGGAGCTACAAGAGTGAAAATTGAAGGCTATCAATCACTCTGGTATAAGTAAAGAGGCTTACCTCTAAAATGAGTCCGAGTAGGTTTAGCCATTTCCTGGGATCTCCTTGTCCGTTGGGTGGAATCTCCAGGAGATCTAGAGCCTGTTCCTGGTAACTTAGACCTGGAGACTGAAACGGTCGAGATAGACTGTGAAACTGATAATGACTGGGAGTCTGCACTTAATGCTGGAAGGAGCGCAGCAGCAGCAGTAGTGGATTGGAGCACATCAGCAGGGGAAGTGGAGTTGGGGACTGAAGTAGGAAATGAGGACTGGGAAAGAGAAGCTGCAGGAAGACTGGGAGAAGTTATGTCCGGTGTTAGAGACATTTCTATCTCCTGAGCCAGGCTATGTTCCCCAATTAGCGGATCTCTGAGGGCATTCAGGATCAGCCTCCACGTTGGTCTGGGATCAACTTGTTTCAGAAACTCATCAATGATATAGAAAAGAGGAGCCTGAGGATCACCGGTCAGCTGAGGGGTTACCTCTATAATGGCTCTAGGTAATTTTAAAAGCCGACCTAAAGTTTTTGCCTTGTTCTGTACATCAAGTAATTGTCGAACAATGTCAACGGCATCATCTTTGTTTAGCCTCTTATCTAGGACAACCAAAGAGTCACCAGCAGGTGTAATAGTTTGGGTTACTGCACCAGGCTCTGTGGAGACATATTCCATAAAAATGATAAACATAACAGTACAATGCTGCTAGCACAACGGAATGAAAATACATATTTTTGGATAGTCATATCCCATATCAGAGCTGTCAATTCTCCCGCTTTAAGAGGATACCACCCGTTTTACGAGTAAATATAGTAGGTTCTCCAATTCTCTCGCTTGGAGACTCCCACATGTTTGCAAGCAGAGAGAATCGAGCCAATCAGGTTGTATGGATCGCCTCCTGCAATTATGCAATCGACGTCTCTGTCACTTGACAATGCACGTGCATGCTTGTGTAACACGTAGAGCGTCGCCCTTTAATACTTGCGCTGCTCAACAAAAATGCGTTGCAAGACTAGTTCCAACTGGATGGGCCACTACACACAGAGTGTCTTGGTGCGGAGGGTACCAGTTCTATATACTCCAAAAAAATAATACTTGGAAGCTCTGATAAACGCATTCTCTCAGACAGACGGACAGACGGACAGACACACTTACGAATGAAGTACCGTAACCCTCGCTGCGCATGCGCACCAAGGGTTAACAAGGAACAGGACATGCAGGCTCTGAGTGTAACACATGCAACCAAATTGCACACGTATGTGCAGATGAGTGTGCGACTTCTATTTATATAGCAGAAAGCATCAAGAACATCAAACAAATTCAAACTAGACCGTCAATAAAAGGTGGAAGAGTTCGGTTTCAGTGTAGCAACATGATAGCGTTTCTTTCTCTAGAGGGCGATGGTTACACTTTTGAAAATGTAGCTTGCCGGGATGGAAGTATTGGGGGAACCGGACCACTGGAGATTGGCCTGTCCAAGAGATCGAAAGGTAGTGATTGTGTCTTTTAAGAGACCACCCAGGGCCTCAATAATGATAGGAATGAGTTTGGCTCCTACGGAGCGGCAGGTGGACAGGTGGAGGTAAGCTTAAGTCACACTCAAACTACGAGGGCATGGCCGGGAGTAGAGGCCGCTTTTCCTATGATTTGCTGCTGAATGGGGAGATTACGTCACGGCCGGCCGACCTCAGCTCCAGTTTGGGAACTGGGCACCAGGTTAGAGTAGCTGACTGGGCCGAGGAGTAGATGACATCGCGCATGGCATTGTGGCGTGAGATGCGGTCCCCGTTGCGACCACAGCCAACCGGGTGGTCCCCGAATCGGTCAGTGGTGCCTTGGCATTTAGGGCAGGAGTAGAGGATGTTGTGAAGAGGGATTCCCCGCCAGTATCGCAGGCAGTAATGAAACTTGTGGTCTTAAAGGCTAAGATGGCACAACATTTAGCCAGTCTCCGCCATGAGGAAAACTCGAGGACAGAGCGAAAACTCGGAAATGGGTTGAAGGAGAGGTCGAGAGTAGATTCTGGTGAGAGCCTCATTGATGGAGAGGGAGAGCTGTTGGTGGCTCCTATACAATGCATGGAACTCGAACTCATAGCCATTTTTTTTAAAAATGTCTTTCATGTGCATTGCAATATTAAAATTCATCCCATAAAGTTCTGAAAATGTGGTGAGGGTAGCTACCTCCTTGTAAGAGCCATGATTAGCAGTAGCTCTGTGCCGTCAAAACTTTAGCATTTATAAACCCCGCTCACAAATAGTGTGGACACTCATAACATGGTGGTGGATCAGAGTTGACGGCTGTGACATATTACCTGGTATAATTATAGAGCTGAGTCTACAAGACGCATGTGGAGCAGGGATGTTGATCTGGTCGATGGCAAATTACAGCAACAGTTTCAAGATTATCGGGAACGATTATTCGCGAGGAACTAGCTAAAAAAATATTTTACCATATTACAATGCTGAAAGAAGTTTTATACAGTAGTAAGTATTGTAAGAACCACTCACATAACAATTGCCTTTTTAAATCAGGTCTGCGACAAGCACAAACCACATATGAAGATAGATAAAGTAATTGAGCATGACAGGAACCAAGATACTGTTTGAAATTGCATTGAAAGTGAAAGAGCTCAAAAATTCACTGCTACAAGTATGTGAGATGTTTTCAGGTGGTTGTTGCAAATATCCAGGACACCAGCCGTGATCTCATCAAGGAAAACATTGCAAAGAAAATAGATTACTTGCCTCAACGATTCATAACTTCAGTCAAGAAACTGTCCAACATTAAAGGATCGCTGCTAATCATATTCTTGGGGTTATTGTCAGTTCAGAAAAACGAAGCTGCAAACTAAATAGATCGGGACTCAGAAATGGAAGATCATACTGAAGGTGATATGGTGAAAGAGGAACATGAAAGTAGCAGGTGAGTTTGGCAAATTCGGTATAATGCAATAATTATCCCTCAGTTGCTATAGTTGGTCTGTGAGAGTGGGCATCCACCTACATCCGTTGTTATTCTCGGAAACCGTGGCAGTTTTCGAAAGTTTAATGTATGGATCATAGTAGTTACATGCATTATAGCTGATGGAACTGTACGGGGCTCTTAGAGCCAATAATGTGGTGCTGATAGTAGGGAAGGCATTAGTGACGCTGAGCTAATCGATTGATTACCTTTGTGTATGTACAGTTCTTGATGGATACTCTGTTGATTCCTAGTAGGTCTTACACCACCGGTAATCTCATCAGAGAAATACGTGCAATATTAACTAAAAGGGCAATGGCGGAAAACCTGAGGTCGATTGTTTCTCAGTTGCATAATAGTCACGATGTTGCAGAATGGGAAAAGGTCTGCATTCCTTTTATGTATATATGCATCCGAAGTTGACCTATCTCATGACCGGCATGCTTTTCCATGATGAGACCCACGTTTTAAATGGAGTAAAGCAACACAACACATACGTAAATGATAATGTGTGCAGCTCTGCAAATATTGTTGTATTATGTGCTGCATTGCATACCGGCTGAGCTCCACAGTGCTCTGACTAAAAACAATGTTGCGAGTTTAAGTCCAATCTCAATGAAAAGCACTACAGTGCAAACCCTCAGCGTAATGTGCATGCATGGTACCACTAATTGATGGGTGGGGCTAAGAGCATGCATTTACTCTCATGGTCTCCACACTAGTAGCTGGCGAAGAGTCTGACACGGGCTAGCTACACAACTAGATAGCGTGCGTGAGTCGAAACACGCCCTTAGTTGTGACTTTTTGAGCTTCCAAGGTATATACACAGAGTGAGAACCCCAGTGGGATTATGCATATTGGCTTTTTCAGTAACCCAATCTTTTCTTTTAAGAATGTGGAGAACTTCTTCACATAAACTTTGCTCGACGTTGCTTACAGATTGATTTTGACTCCCAAAAGAGCATGGTAAGAACTTTCAACTGTTACAGTTTCAACGTTAAGCCTTCCTCCCTCACACTCTGACCTATTCGCTAAAAAACAAAACACAGTAATTTCTTGCAGAAACACATATGACAGTGCGACATAGGGTGTCAGGAACACAAGTTGATTTAATGGTAATTTAAAAGATAGGCTAAATCACTGTGGTATGCTGACGAACAAAGCTGCAGAACCGAGCAACGTGTAGGTAACAGAGGTACCTGCGTTGAATAATACACGAGGAAAAAGAATAAACTCCATGAGGGAAAAAATGTAAATGAGGCGAATGAGACTGTAAATGAGGTAACATTCCTGAGTCAATGATTGATCACTATGGAGTACACAACTCAGGGTAAGGGTTTCTCTAGGGTCAAAAGAAGTTCTCTAGTGTGTGGGTCAGAGCGTCTCACGTATTAGTGACAAGGGGTCGAAATTTGAGGTGATTTTATGTGTCGATATGTTTCTTCTGAAACTGCTGTAACGAGAAAAAAGAATAAACTCCATGAGGGAAAAAATGTAAATGAGGCCTCGGAGATAATGGTACTGTAAATGAGGTAACAGTCTTGAGTCAATGATTGATCACTATGGAGTACAAAACTCAGGGTAATGGTTTCTCTAGGGTCCAACGAAGTTCTCTAGTGTGTGGGTCAGAGCATCACAAGAGTTTTTTTCACACCTACTTGGGGACGGAGACTCCTGATTTAGTGAGCAGCACCATCCGTTTGGCCAGAATGACTGTTATCATGTATATACTGAGTGAGAGTGTACTGTGCTATAGCACAATGGTTTGAGGTGCACCTTTGTGTTGTGTTGTGTTGTAGATTCGAACCCCTACCAGCTGAGTTGCCCTGGTAGCTCAGTTGGTAGAGCGCTCGCCTAGACTGCCGAGTGTCGTGGGTTCGAATCCCACCCAGGGCAACTCTTCTTCTTTTAGAGCTGTCCTGGGAGTAGTTGACTTGTTTGCCTTGCCTTGCCTTTCTACCTCGCTACCAAGTTGTTGAGACATGGTTATGTCGTTGCATTGTCACTATTGTCTTGTATCAGTCTTGTAGTCGTCTCTTCATGGTCACACAGTTGTACTCACCATGCCCCTTGTGGTTCCACTATGTCTATAAAGACTGTGTACTGTATTGAAAGATTATCCTACTTTCCCGTGGCTGAGCCAAGATTCCACACGGTGGGAGCGGTGGGATCGTGCAAAAGAAGATGGCCTGGCTCCAGCTGAAACCTCCGGACCCATTCATCAGAACCCGGACGACTGGCCACGCTGGCGCAGACATTACGTTTTATTTTCATTACGTTTTATCTTCAACTGGTATCACCGCGGATAAGAGGAAGCGATACAAAACTGTATAGAAAAATTCAAGGAGTTCTTCATGGTACAGTGAAATGTAATATTCGAAAGAGCCTTATTCAATCAGAATGAGGGGGAAACTGCCAAAACTATATCACAGAATTGTACAAGCTGGTGGCAATGCAATGCGAGATGACCTGTCGAAATCCAAGACACCGCTCTTTCGAGGAGTTATCAACTCGACGACGAACTAACTCTGGAGAAAAAGAAGAAGAAAATCCGGCAACTAGAGGCCTACCGGTCGAGCACCAAAGAATGAGGCGTGGCATACCCCCACGACAAACCTGCATTCGATGCTGCGGTGACTCAGATGCTCGTGAACTTGTCCTGCGAAAGATGTTACTTGTCATCGCCGCCAAAAGAGGGGACATTTTAGTTCCCAGTGCTTAACGAAAGTGCGAATATCAGAACTCATGCAGGACCATGGTCATTGGATTCTGCCTTCCTAGGCACTGTGGATCCATAACCGTCGATGACTGCGTGGTACATCACTCTCTCTGTCAATGGACATGGTACCCAGTTCAAAATAAATACGGGAGCAGAGGTTACAGCAGTCTCTGAAGAAACGTATCAACGTCTAAAAAAATCATCTCAAATTTCGACTCTCCTAGCAAGACCTTGTACAGTCCCTCGCAATGCCCACTGAAAACATTAAGACAGTTCTCAGGAACTCTCAACACTACAGACTGGGTTTGTTGTCAGTGGCTTGAAGACAAATCTGCTTGGAATGCCTCCCATTACATTGCTCACATTGACAACCCGGATCGATTAAACTGAAACAGGAGTTGGCCAACAAGACTACCGCAATATGTTCCGTGACCTGTTTACAGGCTTGGGTAATTTGGGAGCACCCTACGACATTCAGTTGAAGGAAGGACCCACTCCACATTGTGTGTTTACCTCAAATCACGTTCCATTGCCACTACGAGAAAAAGTTGAAGCTGAGCCCGACAGGATGGAAAAATCGAAGTCATAAGCAGAGTGGATGAGCCTACCAAATGGTGTGCTCCCATGGCAGTAGTGCCAAAGAAAGATGGAAAATTCGAATCTGCATTGAAAATGAAGCCACTCAATGAATGTGTTCTGAGAGAGGTTCACCCTCTCCCCAAGGTCGATGAAACATTGGACCAGCTATCTGGGGCCCAAATTTTCAGCAAGCTAGACACCAATAGTGGATTGTGGCAAATACCACTGGCAAAGACAAAATGTGACTACCTTTATCACAGCTTTCGGCCGATACAATGTCTCAGACCTCTGCCGATTCTTGGGCAAGACCAATCAACAAGGAAAATTTTCCCAAAATCTGGCACAGTTGACAAACCCCTCCGGGAACTATTCAGCAAGAACTGCACATGGATGTGGGGATCAAGTCAAACGGAAGCCTTTACCACGGTCAAAGAGGAGCTAACACAACCAACGGTCCTGGCATTGTATAACACAATGGCTTCACCGAACGTTAGTGCTGATGCATCCTCATATGGTCTGGGAGCAGTTCTCATGCAGAGGAAGAAGGACTCCAGCTGGAGGCCAATCGAGTATGCCTCCAGATCTATGTCAACAACTGAAATGCACTATGCTCAAATTGAGTAAGAGGCCCTCGCAACATGGGCCGGTGAGAGGTTCTCAATAATATACATCCTGGGGAAGGGATTTTCAATTGAAACCGAACACAAACCATTAGTCTCTCTATTGGGCACAAAGAACCTCGACTCTCTGCCACCTACAATCCTCCGGTTTCGCCTTCGCCTGGCTCGATTTGACTACACAATAGTTCATATCCCTGGAAAAGAATTGTGTGTTGCAGATCACCAATTGCTGCAGTCTCAAATGATTCTGAGCTACAGGAAGAAGCTGATTACCTGATGGAAGTCAGTGCTACCGGTAACTGGTGGAACACTTCAAACAGTATCAAGTAGCACACGAAACTGACCCAATATGTACTGAAGCGCGCAAATACTGAACAAGACATTAAAAAATCAGCAATGAGCTCAGGCCATATTGGAAAGCCTGAAGCCACCTAGTCATTAGTCATGAGGGGCTACTCCTTTTCGGAAATGGAATCGTCATTCCCAAACGTTTTGGACGGGAAACCCTCAACAGAATTCATGATGATCACCAAGGAGGATGGGACCTTGGGAACTCACCTGCTTCTAGTTCACTCACGACTTTGAACATAGTCTTCCAAAACAATAGAATCCTAATCGCACATTAGGCAGATCTGTCCAAGTCTTTCGGTAACTGTAAAGCCCACTTAAACGGAGTGCTGAAGCTCAAAAAAATGCTTCTTAAACTGCAAGTCAATACTGACCGGGAATAAAGGAATCTGTAATAGGTTTCTACTATTAGGAGGGTTGGCGTAAAATCAATATTTGTGCTATATACTATGTCACATATCAGAGGTTTTTATTGGCGAGCAGAAGCGAGCAAACCTAGACGTACAATTGGTGGTGCCATACAGCGTTGTATGTTTGTCTGTCGGTCTGTCGGCACACACAACATAATGTTTACATCATTATAAATACGGTTAATCAACGCAGTGTTTCGCGCAGCATTATAACTACTGGGCGCTCCTCCCGGATTGAAAAAGCCAAAAAATGGGCGTGAACAATTACTGCACATGCATAAAAATGATATTACACTGTGCACAGTTGCGCTGCATATAGAGTAGCAAAGGCTTTAGGCCAGTAGGGGATTTCCCAACAGGAAGTGCTTTGAAATGTGAGTAGCAAGTCAGCCAGAAAGCTGAGGTAATTCATAATCACCCTGTTTGAGTATTACCTTGCGGGAAACACTGAATTAAAGTGCACACGCGATGCTGCGAGCCACGTGACTCAAAGTCTATGTATCTCGTCTTCTCCCTGAAAGCAACGATCTCCAAAGGCAAGCAATAAATCACATCTGAGTGACGACTAGGTAGACATCAGCATGTTTGTATCCAAGTGAGGGAAAGAAACCTTAAGACAGTGTCTTCCAGTGGAAGAGTGAGAGACACGTCTGCCCTGCAGATAGAGCTCGGTGAAGATAACGTCTTGCTTCCGAGACAGTGGAAGAATGACAGACACGTCTACCTGCAGGAAGAGCTCAGCAAAGACATATTGCTTTGGAGAAAGCGGGAGAACGAAAGACACGTCTAGGTACTTGGCGAAGACGTCTTGCTTTGGCGAAGACGTCTAGCTGCAGGTAGGGTCCGGAGGACACAATTTTATGCTTTCGAGACAGTGGAAGAACGAGAGACAGGTTTAGCTTGCAGAGGACACGTCTTTCCTCCGAGACAGGGGAAGAGAAAGAGACATGGTTACTTTGCGGAAGTGCCTTCGTCTATGGAAGACTAGGCTCGCTCCTGCTCCTCAAAATACACAGCATTCCCCTAAAAATAACTGTTGGTCAAAGGTATCCACATATAGCAAACTTCACTCACAGAAACACCCATGCACCCACCTTGGTCTACGTCTGTATTACATAAACTCAAGTATGCGAAACCCCTGTGACAATGACTCTACTCTGGACAACCATAAAATGCTGCATAGAATGTAGCTTTAACACATTCTCAGAGTCCAATGCATAATATACCGACATCAACACAATAATAAGGTGTGTGCAAATATTTATACTGTTATAGTGCATTGAAGACTTCATGATGACTTTCGCTGATGCATTAAGCGGCGTTGTAACGGTTTGCAGTTTTTTTACACTATACAAACCTGGTATATCATCAGATATCCTGACTGGCTCTTCCTTCATCCACACTCCTCCTTGCCTCAGGAACTCATCTGTAAACATGTAGTTTTAATCTCCAGCATCAAAAACAGGTACACTACCTCCCACATGAGCACTTTATGAAAAGCACTAAAGTACAAGCCGTCAGTGCACTACATGCACATTCATGGTACGCTAATTGATGGGCTGGGCTATGAATATTTGTTTACTCGTGGTCTCCAAGCTAGAAGCTCACAGAGAGTCTGACACTGGCTAGCTACGCTATAGTAGATAGCGTGCGGGAGTCGATACATGCCCTTTGTTGTGCCTTCTTGTGCTTCCAAGTTATGTACACAGAGCAAGTGGATCAGGTGGAGGTAAGCCCAGTGCGATTATGCATATCGCTTGTTTTCACGGCACATTTCCTGAACAGAGTAGTTTTGGGGGAAATTGCCGTTTCAGTTTTCAGGCTTGCGTAGTTCTGAAGCCGTTGGTATCATTTAAGGGCCACCTGGTAGCATGTAGTACAAACAAACACACAAACAGACTGACAGATAGACTAGGTATACTGTAACCCTCAGTAGGGTTAATGATGGAGGAATGCGGAAATCACAGATCACCCGAATTCCCCCAAGATGGTTGTGGTATCAATTATGTAAATCTGTGTGACTAATATAGGTATACTGCGCGTCAATGGCAATACGCGATTTAGACGGCAACGAGGGGCCCTGAGCTGTAGCTGTCTGAGCGCAGCGAAGACGCTACTGAGGGCTCCGGGGCCGTCTAAATCGTGTATTCCATTGACAAGCAGTATAACCTGTTTAGACGGAGGCCGTGCCGGCCTTCAAAATCGTCCAGGTCCGCCGTCTTCCGATAGACTCGCTCTTGCCGGGGAAGCTAAAAGGTCGTCAGTTTAGTTTCTTTTTGCATCGTAGAGAGGCCTTTCATCGAAGAGCATCGGATATAGCGAGTTTGAAGTCGTCGCGGCGAGCTCTCAGCAACAGAGCGAGTTTCTTTGCGCGGAAGCTTGCCACACCCCCATCGAAGACGGCATTTTTTGCCGGGCGTCTCCATGGAAACACGCACTTGGAAAATACGGGATTTAGAATCCACGTTTTA